GCTCAATAAAGACGTTTTGGGGAGGTAAAACTCGTACGAGATGTCGGAGGTCAAAGAACACCCAAGCCGCAAGAGGATCGTAACTATTCCGTCTGTCGAGTGTAAGTGGACCCTTCCCACAAATATATTTAAGGCATTAAATCGAAATTACTATTAAGTTGAGGATTTTGGCTCTGACATCGATAGCCTAAGGTAAGCTGAACTGCTCCGTAGGAGGTGCGTCAATTGACAGTTTCCAACGGACAAGGGAAGAGCAATGAATCCCAAAAACAGTATTAATTAAAACGGAGGGCACAAAACTTGGAGAGCAAATACACCTGGAACTGTCGGTTTAAAGCCTGAGCGATTAATTTTTAGTCCGAACTTAGCGATCAGATTAAATTCGTAGGTATGTTGAAGGCGCGTCAACCTAAACGATATTAATCTAATCGGCACTGACTCATAAAATCATGAAAGAAGAGAAACCTGTGTGTTCCTTGTCAATCTAACCATGCCTAACTTAAGAGCTCGAGTACGCATATGATTTAATTTACACCGTGTTCACCAGCCTCAAGCACTGTGTACGAGAGGAGTTGTAGGAACCGAATTATGGGAATTTCGATGTATTTTTAATAGGAGGGATAAATGGGGTTAAGAGGGGTTAAGAGGGGACGCATGGCATGAAGAGGGTATCGGAAACAGCTGGGAAACAGACTCTGCGGGACAATTCAGCGCTGCTGGAAATTATATCGGGATAACGGCCTTGAGGTGATCCATGTTCGTGACCATTATATTAGACCACCCCTGACTACGGAGCTTCTGATTGTCCAAGGACAGTTCCGACGTTTTTTGATTTTCGTCAAACTGTAAAATAGTATAAGTACGCGTCACCAAACCTTTTTTTGTGATAAGTCCTGAGACTTAGCATCATGGCAAAACCATCGGCGGGAACGTTGACTTCTATGAATACGTCGTTGGTGAAATGACCCATTCAGACTCCGATGGCCCAAATAAAGTAGGTTTATTATAACACTCCTGGATATTGCAAGTTTACTTCGAATACAGGAAAAAAACCTAGACTAAACTCACCCATTTCGACTGTACGTTGACTTCATATTTTGGATGTCTGCCTAGTCAACACAATGCGAATTGAGAGTTTGTTTTAAGTTTAAATAAAACCTGAGTCTCAAGGCAAAATAATAGTACAGTTAAGAAAAAAGGACGATGTGCACAATATAGAGATTGAAGTTTGGTACTTCTTGGGGTCCATAATATGCCGCCCTTCGTGGAACTTGGGGAACTTTGACATTTGGGCTGAGGTTTATCATAAAAAATTCTTCAGTAGCCAAAACCCTTATTTGTCTGAATAAGAGGCATCTGGATATCTATTTACGACTGCCGTTCTTCTTTCACGAAACTGACCAAAGCTATATGCAAGATTCGTGCTTATCTTCTGCTAAATTCGCATTAAAGAGTGATCCATAACCCAATTGCATGTCACAGAAGGGATGTGCATGGCATTACGTAGCACGCTCGATACTGTGCTGAAGAACACATGGGAAGCTAGTCTACCAGCACCAATAGTGGACTATTTCATGTCAGTAACTTGCGAAGACTGGGGTAGACTATGAAACCGTTTAATCTCCCAGCCGTTGGTTGACCATTTTATTTCGTCAACCCCTGTCCATACAGATGGGCCAACAGGTGATCTAGTGTTTCGAAAATAAATAGCGGTGTGATCTTCATAAGTAACGCACCTGTATTATCTATTTAGCAGAAGTTTGCTGCATCGTTAATTCTACAAAGTAAAGTCAAACGTACGCTTGAACTTGGCCATGACTTTGTACATCGTAGCTTGTAGCTGCACAGCAGTGGGAATGTGTGCAGTCTGTGATCTACAATTACCAAGTCAAATTCCGTTTTGGAAGAAGAAAGCAGATGGCACCAGAATGAGGGGTTAATCTTATACAAAACCCGGAGTTGTCCTCTCAGGCGGCAGTGGCCACTGGCGAAGCCAGGGCTGATTTTTACCGCGTCCAGTCAGGCCTGGGAGTCCCTGGGACAGTGGTGGCAGACGCATTTTTAGAATCGTGGGACGAGATAAAATGGCGTCCAGTCAGTGTGTGGTGCATTTGCAGACGGGTGGTGTCCCAATGGCTTAGGTTATTGTTGCAGGGAGGAGGTGCATTCAAGTGGCCTCATGGGCAGCTGCAGGTTTGTGGACGCAGGTATACCTGATCTGTCGGTCGTGTGACTTCAGGTCAGCGCGTCTGAAACGGCTCACTGCGAAAGGATGAACGACCTTGGCACAGTGAGATCTTGAACAATGACGCCAGACCGGTCATACTGGCTGCCCGCTACTAGCTTGACCCAACACTTGGGATGGAACATGTGTTCACAGGTGAGTGGCGCATATGGCGAAAATCTTCCACCAAGTAGAAAGGGCTTGAAGAATGAAACCAGCTGATACTAATGCTTAGGTGGTGTTGTGTGGACGCTCCATATCTAGTTCTCCTTCTTAATACCTACCAAAACAATCCACAGTCTATCTATCTCCTTTGCGCTATAGCCCAACCCGGGGGATTTCGTTCTGACCGTCCGTTGTAAGAATATCCTGGGTATTAACTCCATTGATCTTCACGGACTTTAAGAGCAGAAGTTATAATTATTCTGTCGGTGAGTTGCCCGATTCGTGAAATGACTTGATCGCCTGATGCATTGCGTGGACGGACCTCGATATCTAACTCTCATTTACTATTAAACTGCCTGATCAGACTGATATCATAGTGTGGGGATTAAAGCAGTACGAAATTCAAATAAATAATGCTGACTGTATGCGACAAATCGGTCCCTCCAGAAGGTAGCACCGACTGTCACGGCTGAACTTTTCGAACGATTTTGCAGATTACACTAAAGAGGGAACCCTGGCGTCAAGTTTTAATTAAATTTGATTATAACTTGATGTGTTAACACATCAACATCTTCATGGGTGAAGGGATAACTAGGGCGTCTTTTCTTGTACAATACAACAGCTGTTTTAAGAGGGGTGTTCAGACACGGGAACAGGAGCACCAGTTTTAACACACAAGACTGTGCAAAATTCCATAAAGGGTGAGTATTCACATGCCCTGAACCCAACCCAAACAATAGCCCTAACTCACAGCTTAAAGCTGAGTAAAACCCTAAGCTTATCCGTATCAAAAAATTTACCCAGTCATTACGACTGGCCCAATCCTAAATCTGATTTTCCTCTTCCTGGAATTTAGAGAGGTGTCATCTGTATTTGGGGGAGGGGAAGGTTTCATATCCCGGTATTCAGAGAATTCGATACGGAATCGAAGAGCTTCAAGCTGTAAGGCGTCCGGTCCATGGAACGTAAACATGCCTATGTGTGGTAAATGATTCCCAACTTCTGTTGGCTCAATTCAGTGTAAAAAAAGAAGGTACTGGTCGAGTCGTATACATGGTACACTGGAGTATAGGGGTGTCCAGTTAGTTGCTACCCATGCATAAGTGGTTGGGCATCCCATGCAAATGGTTACTGCTCCTCGTGGTCCTTTACTGACACTAAACTCTCATTTGTAACTTCCAAAGCTAAGCTCTTTTTAACAGTCACACCCCGGTAACCGCTTCGACCGCTGAGCTAAGCCAAATAAAGAAATGCGATGTTGTGTGTCCGCAAATCCAGTAATACTGCACCTATTCGCACTCCTTCTCCCATCCTCATCCCCTCACCACTCCTCCCTTCCCTCTCCCTCATCACCCTTCCAATTCAAAGAGCTCTTCGAGGAGGACGATATAAAATCAAGCAGACGGCCTAGGCTAACTTGGATCGCTCTCCACTAAGTAAAGCCACAACATATAGTGGAGTTCGTCGGCCACCATGGATGTCTCAACAGTCTCGCGGGAAGGGGCTATTAAAGGTATCCCAAACAAATGATTGAAAATCTGGCCATCTGCAAATATGGTACACGTCTCAGTAGCCAGCGCGTGCACAGTCCGAAGCGTTTATCCATGACCTGCTCTTCGTGGATGACTGCACGCCCAACACCACAACATAAGGAGACATGCCACGTAATATGGCTCCCTTCGCTCCCGAGTCCGCCAATTTTGGGCTGATCACTATCACGGGCAAGATGGTGATCATGCATCAATCGCCGTCCAACGCTGCATCCAGTGTTCCTCGTATCCCCGTAAAAGATACCCAATAAAAAACGTGAACGTCTTCGCCTACTTAGACAGCGCCCCCTCGTAAGCATCAAAATCAACAACGAAATGGCTCACGGGATCTCCCAAGCCAACCAGCCATCCGACCGGCTGCAGAACGCAGTATGGCATTGCCACGGTCTTCACCCCATCACCAAACTGTTGTTGTATAAAACTGTCATATTTAGGACACCTTTGTGCGGAACAGAAACCTGGACAATCTACAGAAAACAAGTAAGGAAATTCAATCACTTCCACCTCAGATGCCTTCAGTGCAGGACAGGATTCCGGACACGAAAGTTGTGGAAGTGGCCAAAATCCCCAACATCCACGTCATGCTATGGAAACCGCGACCACGACTGAACGGCGACCTCGTGAGGATGAAATATGAGCGACTGTCCAACTTCTCTTCTACGAAAATGTCGTTACGAGTACCCGCCGACAAAAAGACTTAATACACCGCAAAAAGAGCATTCTAATGGACTCTCTGAAATGCTTATAAATCGACCAGAAATCCTGGGAAGACTTCAAACAGGACCGAACGGCCCAGAGAAGAAGAGCGAATAATGGATCAACAAGATGTTAAGGCAAACGGATCACAGCTGCAAAAACCAATCGAAGAACTTGCTTGCCTAAGTCGTCCCTTGTCCACAGCGTCAACAACTAACTCTTCTCTTCCAAAATGCCCACGCTGCCAGCTAAATTCCCGCGCGCGCATCAGCCTCTTAGGGCGTCTCCAGGTCCAATGCACCAACAACCCGACAACCCAAACTGCTGCCTTCCCAGCCGCAACTCCTCAAACCCCCACCTTGTCCATGGCGACGACCACCCTCACCAGCAGTGATCACAATCCTGATGCTCCGCTACAATCGATCATCCTTATCTCCATCATCCCTGCCACAACCACTGCGGCGACGACGACCACCGCTCTCACTCCCGCCGCCGGTCAGAAAACTCCCGACGCCTCGTCAACCACCACCATCACCGCCACCACCACCAACACCACCACCACCACCACCACCACCACCACTACCACTTCTATGTCCAGTGACGTGGATTACGTTCCATTCTGTCCTCATCGCAATCCCACACTCACCACACGCATCGACCTGGTAGGTCACTTGCTAATCCGTCACACTGCGGCCAGTTCACCAGTGGCTGGAGACCCCTTCATACATTGGCCGCATCCACCTTCACTGACCACACTGTCCACGCACATTTATTTACCACATGTGCCTATTCGATCAATGCGTCTCCATGAAGTCCTCCCGCCATAAATCCCCGCAGACAAGACCACGTCATCACGCACACCCATCAGCACATGAACCACAAATGAACGCGTCCAAAACCTTACATCCCTGTCGCGTAAGTGGTAAATGTGGTTTTCGGCCGCCTACTTCATGCGGTGGGGTGTAGGGGTGTCAGCGGTGGGTTCAAGTAATGGTCGTGGTGGTCGCTCACTTGCTTGCAGGTGAGACTGCGCCTAGCGTCCACTTGCTGGCACTCAACTCTCACCTTTGGCTCCACGTAGCTGGGCTCTGCTCAGCGGCCACACCCCGGGCAACCGTCTCGACCGGCGGGCTAAACCAGGTGAGGGGGCCCTGTGCGCTGTGCCGTGTGCACAGGGATTGCGGATTCCGCTGGATGAAAGGTAGGATGGAACCTTGCGTCGGCACCGTCGTGACGTGGTTCGTCTCTGCACGTCGCTTGACAGCCGGTGACGGGATGGATTTCCACATCGACATCGCCTTGACGCGCCCACCCTCGCCGACGGAGACCGCGGCTGACGGCGAATTCGAGTCGATCTCCACTACAACCCGAAGTCGTGGTCCCATAGTGGAGTTCGGTCGTGCCACAACGGCACATGGCAGCCCTATTCAGGGATGGCACTGCCAGCCCCCACGAGGGGAAGGGCCTAGAAAAGGTGGCCTAAACATTGCTGGGTACCACGCCGTCTCCAGGCTAGCCAGGGCCGCAGACGTCTAAACATGGTCGAAACAATCAAAATCGAAACAACAACAATACCAATAACAACAACAACCATACTCATTCTCCTCATCCTACCTCTTCTTCCTCTATCTCCGTCTATTCTTCTGCCTATTCTTCTCCTTCGTCATCTTCTTCTCCATCTCCTTCCCGTCGCCCCACTCGTTGTCACCAGACTGGCAGGGTGAGCGCGCTCACTCTGGCAGCCTTGAATGTTCGTTCCCTTTTAGACAATCCGAGGAGCAACCGACCGGAGCGGAGGACGGCGCTAGTGGCACGAGAACTGGCGTGCTACAAGGTGGACATCGCCGCACTCAGCGAGAGCCGATACTCCGAACAAGGCCAACTGGAGGAGGTGGGTGCCGGCTACACCTTCTTCTGGAGCGGTCGACCCAGGGCAGAGCGACGGGACGCGGGCGTCGCCTTCGCCATTCGGAACGACATCGTGGGATGGTTGCCCTGTTTGCCGCAGGGCATCAACGATCGCCTGATGAGGCTCCGCCTGCCTCTCCGGGGAGGCAAATTCGCGATCATCATCAGCGCCTACGCTCCGACGATGACCAACCCCGACGCCGTCAGAGACAAATTCTACGAGGACCTGCACGCCCTCTTGGCGACTGTGTCGAAGGCGGACAAGTTGATTGTCCTTGGCGACTTCAACGCCCGCGTCGGCACAGACCATACTGCCTGGAGAGGAGTGCTGGGTCCCCACGGTCTCCGCGGCTCAAACGACAATGGCCTGCTGCTTCTCCGCACCTCCGCAGAACACCGCCTCATGCTGGCGAACACCTTCTTCTGACTGCCGGAGCGAGAGAAGGCCACCTGGAGGCATCCTCGGTCGCGCCAGTGGCACCTGCTGGACTATGTCCTCGTCCGGAGGCGAGATCAGTGGGATGTGCTGGTGACGAAAGCGATCGCGGGTGCTGACGGGTGGACCGACCATCGCCTCGTCATCTCGAAGATGCGTATTCGCCTACAGCCTCGCAGGAGACCACAAGGTAAGCGACCCCCAGGTAAGCTGAATGTTGCCTTGTTGTCTTTGCCCGCTCACCACCTTCATTTCAGCAATGAGCTAGCTCAACGGCTAGACAACCTTCCTATCGCTGCCGCCGCCGACCACGCCGCAGCCGCTGCCGAGATCGCCACCGTGGAGAACCGCTGGTGTCAACTGCGAGACACGGTCCAGTCGACGGCGCTCGCCGTCCTCGGTCGCGCTCCCCGCCAACACCAGGACTGGTTCGACGACAACGACGCCGCCATCAGAAATCTGCTAGCTGAGAAGAACCGCCTACACAAAGCCTACGTAGATCACCCCACTGATGCCACCAAAGCTGCCTTCTACCGCAGTCGCCGCCAACTTCAGCAACGACTGCGCGAGATGCAGGACGTCTGGACTGCTCGCAAAGCTGAGGAGATCCAAGGGTACGCGGACCGCAACGAATGGAAGAACTTCTTCTCTGCGATCAAAGCTGTCTACGGTCCGCCGACGAAGGGCACCGCTCCTCTCCTCAGCGCCGACGGCAACACTCTCCTGACTGAGAAGACGCAAATCCTGCAGCGATGGGCCGAGCATTTCCGAGGCGTCCTTAACCGCCCCTCCGTCATCTCCGACGCGGCCATCGAGCGTTTGCCGCAAGTGGAGACCAACGTGGACCTCGACCTCCCGCCATCTCTCCAGGAGACCATCAGGGCCGTGCAGCAGCTCTCCAGCGGGAAAGCACCCGGATCGGACGCGATCCCTGCTGAGGTCTACAAGCACGGAGGTCCCCAACTAATGGATCACCTGACTGCGCTCTTCCAAGAGATGTGGCGTCAAGATGAAGTCCCGCAAGATTTCAAAGACGCAACCATCGTGCATCTCTACAAGCGCAAAGGGAATCGCCAAGTCTGCGACAATCACCGCGGCATCTCCCTACTGAAAATCGCCGGGAAGATCTTCGCACGAATCCTCCTCAACCGCCTCAATAACCATCTGGAACAGGGCCTTCTGCCGGAAAGCCAATGCGGCTTCCGTCGTCATCGTGGGACCACGGATATGATCTTCGCCGCCCGTCAACTTCAGGAGAAGTGTCAGGAGATGCGGACCCACCTGTACTCTACCTTCGTGGACCTGACGAAAGCCTTCGACACGGTGAATCGTAAGGACTGTGGAAGATCATGCAGAAATTCGGCTGTCCGGAGCGATTCACTCAGACGGTGCGTCAGCTGCACGACGGTATGATGGCGCGAGTCACGGACAACGGAGCTGTCTCAGAGGCATTCGCAGTGACCAATGGAGTGAAGCAGGGCTGCGTACTGGCGCCTACCCTCTTCAGTCTTATGTTCTCTGCCATGCTGATGGACGCCTACCGCGACGAACGCCCAGGGATCCGCACCGCCCACAGGACGGACGGTCACCTCCTGAATCAACGGCGGATGCACTTCAAATCGCGCGTATCCACAACCACCGTGCACGAACTCCTCTTCGCCGACGACTGCGCCCTGAACACCACCTCGGAAGAGGAGATGCAACGCAGCATGGACTTATTCGCCGCCGCCTGCGAGAACTTCGGTCTGGTCATCAACACACAGAAGACGGTGATGATGCACCAACCGCCACCCAACTCGGCCACAGCCCCCAACGCGCCGCCGCAAATCAGCGTGAATGGGACCCAACTGGAAGTGGTGGAGAACTTCCCGTACCTGGGCAGTACTCTCTCCCGCAACACCTAGATCGACGACGAAGTCGCCAACAGGATCTCGAAAGCCAGTCAAGCCTTCGGTCGCCTCCAAAGCACAGTTTGGAATCGTCATGGTCTCCAACTGAGCACGAAGCTGAAGATGTACAAGGCCGTCATCCTGCCGACGCTACTGTATGGAGCGGAGACTTGGACGGTGTCCGCAAAGCAGGCACGTCGTCTGAACCACTTCCACCTCAGTTGTCTTCGTCGCATCCTGAGGCTGAAGTGGCAGGATCGAATCCCCGACTCTGATGTGCTGGAACGGACAGGAATCCTCAGCATCTACGCCATACTGAGGCAAATTCAGCTGCGCTGGAGCGGCCACCCGGTGCGCATGGACGACGAGCGACTACCCAAACGACTCTTCTACGGAGACATCGCAACGGGTTCTCGCCGTCGAGGAGGCCAGATTCGCCATTACAAGGATACCCTGAAGTCCTCCCTGAAGCTTCTGCAAATCAACCCCACCAACTGGGAGGAGCTCGCACTCGATCGACCGACCTGGAGGAGGACAGTGAAGACAGGCGCTGCGATCTACGAAGCCAACCGCATCGCTGCCGCCAAAGCGAAACGTAAAGCCCGCAAATCACAACTTCGCCCAGTAAGCAACGCCGCCGCACAACCGCTTCCAACGTGTCCTCGATGTCAACGGACATTCCGGGCTCGAATCGGACTTGTTGGACATCTTCGGATTAACTGCGCCTCTCGAACGGCACCAACCATCGTCCCCCGACTGCCTCTTCCTCCTCCTCTCCGCCGCCAACTAACCCTGACAATTCTTCTGACCCATCACTTCCATCATCCTCCTCCTCCTCCTCCTCCTCCTCCTCGCCCACTGCTCCAACGGCGGCCGCTCCGGCGACTGTCCCACGCACAGCAACCGACACTACCACCATCTCCCCCGACTCCAGGGATGAGGATCAGGACTACACCTGTCCTTACTGCGACCGTACCTTCACCTCGCACATCGGCCTGGTCGGTCACTTGCGAATCCATCGCACAGAGCCTGGCGAACCAGTGCGTGAAGCACCAATCTACACCCACCGCACTTGCCTCCACTGCCCACACTGCCCTCGCACCTTCAGGCATCGCATGAGCCTTTTCGGCCACATGCGCATCCACGAGAGCGGCCTTGACCGCACTCCCGACACACCCACTACATCCAACACATCCACCGTGCACACCCCCACCTTCGTTCCATCCGTCCGCGACACCACCACCACCACCGCCTCCTCTGCAGCTGACACTGACACCGCCGACTTCTCATGCCCACACTGTCCACGCACATTCACCTCACGCATCGGCCTGGTCGGTCACTTGCGAATCCATCGCACAGAGACTGGCGAACCAGTGCCTGGAGCACCCACCTATACCCACCAAGCTCGTCTCAACTGCCCACACTGTCGTCGCACTTTCAGGCATCGCATGAGCCTATTCGGCCACATGCGCATCCACGACGACCTGCGGTAGACAACCGCCGGCCACACCACACATTCACTCACTCCCTACCTCCTCCACCACCACCATCACCCCACCAGAAATCAACACTCACACACCTCATGCACCCAACTGCCACCTCCCACGCAAGTGGGAATTGTGCATCTCGACTCGGTCCCCATGCGGCTTCGGCTGCACGGGTGACTTGAGCCCGAGACCATCCCGACACGTCAAGCGTCGTGGATAGGAAGGTTGGTGATTGACGCCCGCCCTCGTTTCACGCAGTTCGTCGCGTTGTGTGTGTGTTGTGTGGAGTGGCGGACTGGTGGGCTGGGAACGGGCTGAAACCGCGCCTTCCACGGCACTCTCACCCAAGTGAGATACATGCCGTTCAACCCCCGTTGTATGAAATCCTGGTTTTGTGTGTATGGGGGGCCAGGTCGTGCCGTGGGGCGCGCAGTCATGGTCAGTCGACCATGACAGCCACCGCGCCCATTCCCCACTCCAGTCTGCTGACCGGTTCGAACAGCGGCTGGGGTGTGGGAGTGGGAAGGGAGAGTGAGGTCGACGACTCAGCGCACTTTCTCCTCACTATAAACAATCTGACGCATTTGAAGCTATCACGGTGCGCTAAAAGCCGTGGCTTGGAAGGTTGTCAACTGACGGGGTACCTTGGACCTCCTCCATGACCGGAGGCGGTCTGAGAGTCAGGCTGCAATGGCTCCTTTTTAATGTGGCCTTTATGGCACTCCCATCACAGTGTGGGATCCGAGCCAGGCGTTGGCGGCACGCCCAGGGGCGGCTTCGGCCGTGCCAGCCTCCAATCTCTGTTGTGTTGGTTGAAATCCTGGTTATTTGTTGTGTGGGCCAGGGGGTGTGGTGGAACGCCAAGGTGAGGATCCGTCCGAGCCATCCACCTGCGGCCTCTCTCGTCTCCGGTCTTCTTGACACTGTCTTGACACCGGGCTCGGGCGAGGGAGGAGGAGAGAGTGTGGGTAGATGCTACGCAAGTCTACCGGCACTATAAACCCCTGCGTAAGTCACCGTCCCTGCTCCCATTGCTGCTGCAACTGTGGGGCACACGGTGGACATCATCGAAACCGATGGTCGAACTGTCACTTCATGCGGCTTCTCTGCTACATGTGAGACAGGAGCAGTCCATCCCCTTTCGGATTAGATCCTGGCGCGTGCAAACAGGGATCCAGATCGTGTGTGTGGTACGCGCAGACGAGCTGTCTTTAACCCTTCCGCTCTCGGCATCAGCTGGTTGAATGGATCTGACACGGAATGATGTTGCACGAGTGAGGTCGACTCTTGACACATAACTACTCACTATAAAAAATCGTAGGCTTTTGAGACTAACGTGGTGCGTTAGAAGTCGTAGCTTGAATGGTCGTCAAATGAGGAGATAACCCGGGATTCAGAGTCAGCATGGAGTGACCAACTGATGGACAGTTTCCCACGCGTGTAAGATCCGAGGCGCCTTTCCATTGTGTGTGCAATCCTGGTGGGCGCGCTTGGGAATCTAAGTGGACTGAGAGTCAGGCTACAATGGCCTTTGACGTTTTCACATACGGGAGATTCGGATCGTTCCCTTCTTTCTATGTGTTTAGTCCAGAAGCTGTGGTGGCGAGCGGGTTCACTCCTGCTCAGCCACATGCGCTCTCCTCTTCTTCTTGATTTCATTATGACACTGCTTCTTGGTGGGAGAGGCGGAGGGAGTGCGGTAGTTGCAGAGCAAGTCCACCATCACTTGAAATTAATTAGTGCGAAAGTCACCCCCCTACTCCAACCATGTTCGCGCAGCCTCTGATAGCCTTTTACTGAAATGAAAGGCGGTTCTTCGCAAATGTTCACCGTTGCCGCGCATGAAAATAGTGCACTTTTACATTCTTGCGCAAGGGCGATATCATTGAGGGAACAAATTAACCTCCTCGGAGACGGGATTTTGTTGTTTTTTAATTTAAACTGTAAAACCTGAATAACAACTTCAGGACGAAAGATGAGCACATTGTTAATTAAATGAGGGTTGGTGGGTGGGGGGGGTATAGCAAGGTTTTGTTGAACGCGCTGGGTCTTGCATTGGAAGGGGCTACAGTACCTCGTCACCTCTATGCTGCATACGATAAGACCTCCCTGAAATTGAAAGGAAGGTTTTTTGAGATATTTCAAACCAAAGCCATTACCTTTCGCAAAAAATTGGCCTAACGCTTAAGTCTCACAATAGCTAGTTCCTGTTAGCGCAAACCTGAACACCTCAGCGTGGCATAAAGCAAGAACCATCGCGCGAGCTACAAATGCCTTCTTAGGGGCAATAGGCAGAATTATTCCCCGAGATATTAGACGAACCATTGGTTTTGATTCACGAGCTTCAAAGAATAAGCACTCTCACAATGAAGTTGATAATGTCGTCTGAAATGAATAAGGGCATCTGGAGGCGACTTTTCGTTTCGGCCTCAGCATACGCGTAAACAGCGCACTCACTGGGACAAGGCCCCAAATTCCAGTTACGCAATAGTGCGAGCAGTACATATTAAGTAGTCTTGGTGGTCTCGCAATTGACCAAATGTCCAAGGAAAGGTAAGTCGACGACTGTTAGCTACGGTATGGCGCAAGTTCGAGAAAGGTGGGGGGGGAGGGGGGTTGCTCACCGGTGGGTTCCGCAAGGCCTCTCGCGTTTATTTTAACGGTACAGCAGCTTCCAAACTGAGGTTCATAATGTGACTTAAAATGAAGCCGTAAACTTAATGTGAGGCCTTTCTAACCTTCATAATAACATCTGAATTCAGGGCAGAATCCACACTGTAAGGCGTCTTAGTTGGGGTGCCGCTGGGAAAAATAAATCCCTAGGTATTTTGGCAGATTATGAATAATTCATATTGACCCATCTGTGAAAAACTCGACGCCTCGGTGGGATTCGAACCCACGCAGTAAGGGGCAGGCTTCAGTACAGCCAACGCTCTAACCACCTGAGCTACGAGGCCCCGCCGGACGGCTCGAGTTTTATCACATTTGGGTCAAGTTACCCGCCCAACCTACTATGAATTACGTTAGCCTGGTAGTCATCTGGTGGATTCTAGGTGAATTACTTAGGAAATCCTGCTTGGGCAGTCAACATACTGTATCAGATTTGGTGGATTCCAGACCTTGCAGTAGGTTGGGCGGGTAACTTGACCCAAAATGTGATTAAAATCGCGTCGTCCGGCGGGGCCTCGTAGCTCAGGTGGTTAGAGCGTTGGCTGTACTGAAGCCTGACCCTTACTGCGTGGGTTCGAATCCCACCGAGGCGCCGAGTTTTTCACAGTTGGGTCAATATGAAAAATAAATCCCTCAGAACTTTGTGACGCACACAACAATTCGACCATTTTTGCCGACGATGTCCACCACGTGCTCCACAGCAAGGTGAGAGCAGGGACGGCGACTTGCGAGTGAAGTGTGAGAGTGTGGACTTACACAGCGTCCACCGCACTCTCTCTTCCACACTCCCCACCTGGAGCCGGCATCAAGACGGAGTCAGGAAGGCCAGAGGAGAGGGAGGGCGCGGATGGCTGGCAC